TGAGGTGGAATCTCAGTGTTGTTTTCATCTGCATCTCTCGAATGACCAGTGATGTTGAACATTTTTTCATGTATTTATTTGCTGCTTTTACTTCTTTGTCTAAGAAATAAATGTCTGTTCATTTCAGATGCCCATTTTTGAATTGGGTCTTTACTTTCAGTTCTTTATATATTCTAGATAGTAGTCCTTTGTCTGAGGTACAGCTGCTTGAAATTTTTTCCCACATTGTAGGTAAGACAGATACATTTTAGAGAAAATAAGAGGATTATAAGTAATTTTTGCCGAAGAAAAGAATTAGTTTTAAATCCTTTCATCAATTTTGAAGATTGAGGGTTCTTTCATGTCAGGATTTAGTTTTGTGGTTTTTTTGTTCTAGCTCGTCTTTATTCCTGCCTTGATCACATGAGAGAGGTACTGGGAGATGCTGTGCCAGATGAAATACTGATTGAAGCAGTTCTGAAGAGCAAGTTTGATGTGCAAAAGGCTTTGTCACTTGTTCTGGAACAAGATGATGTGCAGAATCTGAAGGACAAGAGTGGGAGAATAATGTCTACAGGAAAAATACCAAAAGGTATGCCTTTATTTGTTCTCTTTTGTTTTACTTAGATAATGCTTAAAGAAATATTTTAGTTTGCTTGAACTGTATTTAATTTACTTGAGCTGTTAAAATATCACATGTTACAGTTAACATGATATCAATTGGTTTTTCTAGTTTATGAATTTTTTTGTACTGGGGATCGAACTCAGGACCTTGTGCTTAGGAGGCAGGCATGGCACCACTGAGCTAAATCCCTGGGCCTAGTTTGTGAATTTTTAAGCTGAGTACTATGTTTCCTTCCCTTTGTCACAACCTGGTTTTTGGTTATCCCACTACTTGTTTGAATAACTGACAATATAGGGGAAGTAAAATCACATCAAACAAGACCTTTTTTTCTCCTCACTGTGTCTTAGAAAACTTTTTAATATTTTAAACTCTGAGATAGAAAATAGAAATTAATAACTAGCTATTTAATGTTAAATCCTTTTATGTTTTTATCATGCATAAATATAGTTCATTTTATTAAATGCCATTAAATAATACAAGTACTGTAATTATGCTACTCTTGTATTTGTAGACAGTTCTTTAAGTTCAAAGTTGTGGTTTTTGAGGTTGTATTTGGAATTTAGTTGGGAACTGTTAGTAAGAGCATGATGATTTGTTAACAGGGTTGATACTTCTTATAACCTGTGGTCTAGAATATTGCTATGACATAGTTGCATATGATCTGTTACCAGGAAATAAAGGTATTTTTTTGTGAGGAAGGCACACTGATGTGTGTGCACTTTTAGCTGACCATTATGGGAATGAGTCTGTAGCATGTCATCAAAATTAATAATGTATCCTAGCTCACAGTAGAAATTAAAAATTGTTACAAATTGAACTAGGCCCTCAGGAATGCTAGGCAAACTATCTGCCACTGAGTTACACTCCAGCCTTTTTTAAATTTTATTTTTGAGACAGGGTCTTGGTAAGTTGCCCATACTGGCCTCGAACTTGTGATACTCATGCCTCAGCCTCCTGAGTAGCTCGGAATTACACTGTGCCTGGCTCATGCTTGTTTTTAATGTGTTGAAATACAGCAGAAAATTAACCTAGTTTTTTTTTCATTTTAAAAAATTTTGAATTTGAAACTAATTATGGTAAAACCTCATATTAAATTTGTTAACAGTAGGACATTGACTTGGTATTCTCATTTGTAATATTAAAGTATGATACCATGTTAAATTGTTACAGGAAGATAATTTTCCTTTATTATGATTGTTTTAGCATGTTCATTTAATGTTAGGTAATGATCAAGTATTGGTTTATTTATGTCATAATTAAAAGAAACCATTTAGTAATTAAATGCCTCATTTCATATTTCCTTTTGGTTGCTGTGTCTTCTGCATGTGTCAACCTACTCATCTGAAAATTAATGGCTCTTGTAAGGTAAGGAGTCTTATTTTCTTCCTCTGAAGTTTTAGCTGATAATACTGAAAGTTCTTATCCTCAATCAGAAAATCATTTGGATTGCACAAGCAAATCCTTTGACTTTTCTAGCTCAATAGCAAAATATGGATCTTATAATTCTTCAGTTGTACCAAGTCACTATTTACTTCATAGGAAAAAGAAACTTGACAGACCTAGAAGTGAAAAGGAACTAGAATTATGTAAGTTACCAAAAGAGCTTTCATTAGCTGACCTAATTCATGATATGCCAGGAGATTTTTGTAAAAATCAGTCACCAATAGGATTATCATCCACAGATAGTTTGGAAAGTCTGCTTTCAAAGAACATAGATGCTGATTTGTTAAGACCTCACATGTCTGAATGTGTTCCCAAAGATAATTTTGCTTTCAAAGGAATACCAGATTTAAAGTCTTTAATGCTAGAGAGCACAACAGACAATAATTTATTTATTCAAAATAGTTCACTACCTGATTTGCAAAACATTCCAGCACAAAACAGCTTGAGAAGTTCGAACAGTCCTTTGCACTTACCTAGCTCAATGGAAAATACAACTCTTGATACTTTAAAGCCTAGTAAAAAGACTGAAGTTGGAAATGTTTCTTTAGTTGAACAAAGTGCCAAGAACTACATTTTAAAAAATGATAGTTTGCAGTTGTCCCAGTGTGAAAGTCCATCCTTAGCTGAACTGTTTTGGGAACACAAAGAAAATGATCCAAGCCAGAGCTTTAGTTTATCTGATCTTTGTAATCAGTCTTCTGCCAGTTTCACAGATCTAAGTTTGGGATCCTTTCCCCTGTCACAATTAGCAAATCGCTGTCAGTCTTCTACTGGAATATCAGAATTAACAGGATCTCTGTCATCTTTGGCATTTCATAAAGCTGCTCCCACAAAAGACCTTGAGAATTTGTCACTTTCTGATTTGATTGCAGAAACCATTGATGTAAACAACACTCAGATTAAGAAAGATTCTATTGAGCCCAGTTTATCTGAAATGAGGTCTTCTGAAATAGATTCAGATATTGATCTTAGTGTCCTGATAAAAACTCCAGATTTTGTTACAAAGCCTAAGGTTGACCAGTTGGTTGCTCCAACATCAGGAACTAAAGTTCCAAGTTCAACGTTAGGGAAAAATTTCAGTTCTTTTAAGGATAACAAGAAAAACAGTAAAGACTCCCTGACTAGGAAACCACCTTTTTCTCACTCTTGGACCAAGGCTCTTGCTGCTAGACCTTCAGCTTTTGCTTCAACACTGTGTCTTCCTTACCCTCTGAAAAGCTGCAAGCGGCGCACCCTTGACCTCTATAAGACTTTTCTTTATAGTAGACAAGTTCAAGATGTAAAGGACAAAGAAATAAGCCCTCTTGTAGCAATAGCACCATTTGACTTCAAATCAGCCTCTCCTGATGACATTGTAAAAGCTAATCAGAAGAAAGCATTTACTAGAGAATAGTAACCAAAGGAAAACCTGGTTATTGTTGTAGAGCTTTTTATTTTAAATTAATTTAAAGTCTTGTAGGATCACTTTATATTATGGGATTCAAATTGTAGTTTTTATTAAAATTGTCTTAAGTCAATTGATAACTTAAGTTGATATGTATTTTTGCACTGAAAATTTTTTACTGTGTCTTCTTTTAGCGATAATTGGGTTTGTGTTGATAGCCCTTAATGAGTGTATGTTTACAAAGTGCATATGGCAACTTGATATTGTGAAGTTGAATCTCAGATATTTTTGTTGGGCATTCAACTTTATGTTTCTACGGGATATTTTCTCCTACAAAATATTTTTGTGCTTTTTTTCCCCTTAAAAATGCCACCATCTGGGATTATTATAATGTGAAGATCATTCCTATAATATGTGGCATAGCAGAGCTGAGACAATTATATTTTAAAATGTTATTGGTATACTTTCCAATGTCATTTTTCTGTAGGTGAATACTAAAACTTTTCTATTAGAAAATTTTTAAATTCCTAACTTTTGAGAGTACTATGGTTATGGTTGAAATACATTCTTGATGATAATAAAATGACATCTTTTAAGGGACCATGTAAATATGAAGCTGTGATTAATACATAAATTATTTTTATACATTTTCAAAACCATCTGTCAAAAACAAATATTTTAAAAATAAATACAGGATGTTTTCAAGTATGGTTGCATGTTCTTTGACTAGACAGTTTTATCGTATCTCTTACTTTTTCTTTACAATAAATAACAGAATACAGAGTTTTCCTTTTTTTGCTACTGATGGCTGTGTGTTCTGCAGTGACAAAGTTTTATCAGTGGCTCTTTTGGTCCATAGAATAAGTATGCAGTTCATCCCTTACAGCAGTTATCTATCCTGAATCAAAATCATTGGAGGATATTTTTAAAACACTGGTGCTACCTTACTCCAGACCTGCTGAGTCAGTCTCTTAGGGCTGGTGTGTTCTTAAGGTGATCCCTTGGTGATGCTGAGATCTACTTCTTGAGAAAGAAATCAGTAGAATGGAATTACTAAGGCCAAATACACCTGGCCAACATAATTTCTAGAAATTGGGAAAATTACTAATGAGGAATAATGGCCTTTTTTTTTAGCTAAACATTTATCGGTACATTTTAGATATACGTAATGATAATATTCATCATAGAGAATTTATATCAACTGGTCTTTGGCATAAAGTAATGCTGATTTTATTAATGTTTCTTGCTGAAAAAATACAGTAATATCTCAAGTGGTTTTTTTGAAGTGTTTATTAATGAAAATAAAATATCTGATCTTTTTCTAGTAAAAAATACTTTTCTCTGGCAGCTAGCTGCCTCATTATACATTTGATTTTTTTTTTTTGTATTTATTTCTGGTTCTCTTTATTTTCAGGATAACATTCCAATATTTTAGCTCTATATGATTTTCTTTTCTTCTTTGTTTTTGGACCTCCCACAAGCTAGTGCTATACTACTGAGCTATTCCCCAGCATTCTGGTTTTTTTAACGTTATTTTGAGATGATCTCACTCAGTTGCCCAGGCTGATCTTGAACTTGTGTGATTAGCCTGCCTCAGCCTCTTGAGTAGCTGTTTCATGTTTTTTTATTCAGTATTTTGGTAGAAATAGTTAAGATGGTATGTATCTTCATTGTCTTTGACCAAATACTTCTTGATTTCTTGTGATGTCTTCAGGTTTTGTTTATTTTTCAAATCCCAGTTTGAACCTAGGGCCTTACATGTGCTAGGTGAACTTTTCTACCACTAAGCTACATTTCTAGTCCGTGTTTTTTTTTTTGTACTGGAGATTGAACTTGGGACCTTGTGCATGCGAGGCAGGCGCTGGAACCACTGAGCTAAATCCCCGACTAGCCTGTTTTGTTTTGTTTTTTAACATTTCAATGCACCTAATTAAGATCTTAGGAGATTATAAAAATTACAAGCTGTATTTTATAATTGATTTTAAAATTTGAATTATCTTTAGCTGCTGAGTTTGTTTTTCTACTCTTGAACCTTGATCAGTTTGGTAAATTTGAACTATGTACTAGTATTTGACTCAACCAGATTTATGTATAGGTAATCTCCAGTTTAGAAGTATATTATATACTTCTCCAGTTTAGA